CAATCTCCTTTAGTTACCTTTTCTTTTTCTATTTTTCTTTTTTTTATTGCGGGAGGAAGCTGCGCTTTTTGCTCATGCGCATCGAGCAGCTGCACTGGGACATTGCTGACAAGGCATACACACACCATTGCATCCTTTGTCATTTGATATCATAGACACTGTTTCATATACCCTTTTGGTTATTCCCATTTATCGCTAATATTTTTATCTTATCATCATTATTATTCTTATTATCGGCATCTTTGGAGAAATTATTATCCCTAGGCCTTCAACTCAATTCTACAATTTTTTTTTCTGCCCGGGGAACCAGACACGAGAAGCCTTTCTACCTATCTTCTAGTCTACTGGAGAGTTCGAATATCTCGGCAAACGTCCTATCCCTACGGGGTACCAGCCTCCACAATTGCCCTTTCGGCGCCTAACATGAAGCGACAGACCAAGTTCTAGTGCTTCAAGGTAAATAGTTCATTCGCTTTAGAGGGTACACGTCACGCCATATGTTAGTTATCATAAGTGGCTTGAATGAAACAGTAGCAAAAATGGTCTGTTGCGTCCTGGCCTCGCCATGGAATGCATACTACCGAGCACTACCTTGGATGCTGCAAGGTGATTGCTCAGATGACAAGATCCAAGAAAACGGCACAGTAAATCTTACTTGATACAGGAGAAACACGCCGTATTACTAGAACAGAACAATGTATTCCACGTACCGGAACCGAAACATAGAAATATATCACAGGTTGTGATTCCATCTGTAGGCGCTGAACTTCCTTGTTTTCCCATAGGTTCAAGCGGTTAACTAACGGATATATATATTGAGTGTACGTAAGTGAAACTACCACCGTAACAGGGTAGCCTTACCCTTCTCCAGGAAGAAGATTTGTGTCAGTCGGAAGTACTGCTCTCCCTTGTATCAGTTGTGTTGGTCTATATACTTCGTATTGTGTTCAACGCTTCTCTGATAAATGTGTCTTGTGACCCACTTCGGTCCCGAAGTACGTGCAGCAACATGCATGGATTTGACCAGGCCGATTATTATATCAGACTTAGTAACTGTTCCGGCGTATTACTCCGATAGTTATAGAAGGCTCCTTGCGGAGCGTTAGAGAGAGAACTTAGGGGATTCGATCCGAGCTTCTCTCAGAGTGTTTTTCAGCCTCGTAGCTTAGCTATCGAGGAAAATAAAGCCGACAGCCTTTAAGCCTGCGCCTCTGCTGGAATGAGAACACATTTCTCCCGAGCCCTATATCCGTTCATGCATTATAGCTGTGCCTCAGGCATATATATCTATGAAAAAAGTCGAATGTCAATCTCATTGATTTAAGCTCACGGTCCACAATAAGCTTAAGCGGAAGCGGTGGGGCGATTTCGTAGCGTTCCCGCCTGCTGGGCCCAGGAAGGTCAAAGGACGGGTAGAATTATTGGAAAAAGATAGATTTAGCTAACTACTACATAATGAGGACATGGATTCGTTCACTTGGCCCGTACATCGCACAAAAAAAAAAGGCATATATAACATTAAACCACCAAATTGGCACCAACTCCCTTTCCACAAAAGACATGGCAGCGATAAAAAAAAGACGCAATGCAAAACATGTTAAAGCGTTACCCGTACTAACTCACGGACGATGACTCTCGTTACTCTCCGTCGCTGTCACTCAAGCTATCTCGGCGTCTACCTCGGCCAGTACGACGATATCCTTTGCTAAGGGCGGGGAGTGGCTGATGATAACTCATGTTGCTGGTGCCGTTGTCAGACCCGTCAAGATGCTGATAGGAGTACTCAGACATGTCGAGTGGCTCAGTATAGCTGCCGGGCATTGAAGTGCGCTTGCGAGAGGTGGACTGCCGGTTGTTGCTGGTACTCGTTCTAGGTCCACGGGGGCGTTGGGAGTGCCGGGCGTGGCGGGAGCGACGTTCAGTATCCGAAACCTCTGAGCGGCTAGCCTCAGAGCGACTAACATCAGAGCGACTCGCTTCCGTACGGCTTGCATCAGTACGACTACCAGCAGTACGACGGTGGTCAGTGTCCCGGCGACGCGGAGGTGGAGAAGGTTCTCGAAGAGGTCGTTGCTCCTCTGTTGCATGGGAGACGGTATCTTCACCTGCAACGAAGGAAAAGCCAGACGCGTTCCGACCCCTGGAAATATCCATCTCTTCGTACTTATTGGTATAACCGGCCTGGCTCTGTGTCCACTGGCTCTTTTCATCATAAGTATAGGTATATCCAGCTTCGCTACCTGCATTATGTGTGTTGGTGTGGGTGTTGGTAGGGGTAAAATCAGAGCCATGGTATGTTCCATCAGCTTCACGATTCATGCCACCAACTTGCGCAGGCTTCTCGTGGCGGTACGCCCGCATATCTTCGTCGTGGCCGCCTTCCCAGTCGGACTCCTTCTGTCGACGCAACAGTTTCTTCTTCATAGCAATGAATCCTCTTCTCGTTCTACCCGTTTTACCCGTTGCAACGGTTTCCGTTTCCATAGCGGTGGTTGCGTCATCATAATCTCGGTATTCTCTGGCAACAATACTTCCTCCACCAAGGGCGGTACTTTTCGTGGCGTTGGAAAGCGTTCGGCCATCAGGACCCTTTCGTCGTAATACTGTTGATTTATAATCATCCCAGTCATTTTCTCGCCATATAAACCCTCCATTTTTCGCCCAAAAAAAGAACCAAATTGCTGCAATAACAAGCGCGGCACCAAGGAGGGCAAAAAGTGCCAGCATGCCTTGCATGTTGATGCTATGCGGATCGATCGCCCCTTCGCCATAGACAGGTAGAGGCGTGGTAGGTTCCTTATCTCGGGCTGCGAGAATCTTCGTCCCTTCCATATTAGTTTCGAGCGATTTCGTCGGCATATTTCTGGGCTCAAGAAAGTCCTTGATATTAGATGGCGTTGTCCGTTTTATCGACTTTAGGAACTCGGCGACAACTGAAGAGGATCCCGGGGATAAGGCCCCTTCATCTGAAGGGGCAACAACAGGAGCTGGAGCCATGATAACCTGATTCTAAATACAGGCAGTCTCAGTGACTACGCAAGGAATGCGTGCGGCCCCAAGATGGGGGGCTTTGCTTGCCGCTAAACAGGACAGCTCCGATGCTCTCCGATATAGTTCGAGTAAAGGTGGTTGAGCCTAGTGAAATGTGAATAACAAGGAACAAAGAGCAATAGAGGAACAAGTGACAGTTACCAAGTGATATGATTGTTGAGAAAGGGAGACTGGAAGTGGGCGACCAAGAGATGTCGCGGTGGCGGGTAAAGCAGGGAAAATGATGAGGCTGGGAAGTCTTTTGTTTACTTCTCGCCGTCGCCGGGGCAACTATCGCTTATGTCAGCTGAATTATATCACGTGGAATTTACCGCCAAGACTTACTGCGGGAGCTAAACCTTAATCGATTTAAAGCCACAAAAGGCAAAAAGAGACAGCAAAGCAAAAGCGAAAGGATGACGGTGATGCTGTCATTTGCATACAGAGATATTAACCACGGTGGCTATAGGATGACGGGCTGCTGTCCAACCAGGTAGGCAAATTAGCGTCGTCCACGTGTTTTTGAAAGTGTAATACATGAAACTATGTGCGAGAGTATATATTTGAGTCAAGCTATCACGCAGGAAAAAGGTGAAAGGAAAACGTATGTGAACAAATTAGAATGACAGCCTTTGTGTGTAAGTGTGGAAGCCCCCGGGTCCTTCGCCAGGGTAAAAAAGATAACACCTTAGCTAAAACTGATAAGGCGGAGGGAATACAAGCTGGCAGGAATTATGGTGAGCACTCTGTGTGACGACCTGGGGTCGCTAACGTATCAGGGCGGTCGGCGTCGAAGTGAAAAAGAAGACAAAACGCTGGCTGGGATAGTCAAATTGTACATTTTACAGGTCGATTCTGGTATGAACGGATGATAAACGTGAGGCTTTCGCATCGGGCCGCGAGGAAGAAACACGAGGGTCCTGAGCGAGAAGGCGGAACACACCCTCATGAACCGGATATCAACAAATTAAGTAGCGAGGTGGAAATATTAAAGGATGAAGCACGGCATCACACTGAGCGAAAAGAAAAAAAAAGAATAGAAGTTGGGTATGAAAAAAATGAGAATAATTAACGGTATAGAAGAAGGAATAGATCCAAAAAATAATAAAAAGGAACTAATCATGCAATGCGCACTTGAATTGCATGCAGGAAATGTAAGGTGGACAAATGGTAGGTACAGAAACAAATCCAAGGGTGAGGTGTAAATGCAAAACTTGGGGACGGGTCATTGGGATCGTGGGGGTAAGTAAGGGAATGAGATAGTGGGTAAATGCCTTAGGGATAATATTATCATAACCACATCAGATCGTCGACAACCGTACAAATCATAAGTAGGAGCGCGTGTATAGCATAGGTGAACAAAGGTAGTAGACGTAGCAGACGAAATAAATAGGTGATTGAAGGCGTATGCAAAGGGCTAAGGCAAAAACACGGATGGCGAAAAAACAGGTGAGGTATCTTGAACACAATGCATGCAAGAAATCAGGCCATTGATCAAAAGGTGTAAAAAGGTAAAAAAAAGAAAAAAAAAAGAAAGAAAGAAAGAAAGAAAAAAGGGCATCAGCAATAGTGCTAGGGAAAAAGAAACGCGGGAAAACATGAAAGGAAGCAAAATCAGTGATATAGAGGAAAAAGTGTAGACGACGAAAAGGGAGAATCAAAAGGCAGATGACCCCTTCCATAAAAAAAAACCAAAACTAACTCTTTTTTTATAAAACTTTTGTTGTATCCCGTCGACTTTTTTCTCTTTCCCTATCCAAGCATTCTTTTGTTCCAGGCAGAAAATAACTGAAAAAGAATATCAAACGGCCTCCCAAAAGTAAATAGATAGGTTGGTTGAACGAAGTCATGCGGACGGGGTAGGTATCTCCCGAAATATTCGAATATATAACTAAGCGTTTTGCCCATTTTGGTATTTTTGTGTGTTCTCGCATTGGTCCATGGAAGCAAAGCGGGTATTTCCAAGTAGTTTACTCCAGTAGGCCTCGTCCACTATATCCTGATCGGCTGGATCGTCGGCTGTCACGTTCGGCGCGGTGTTCTTCGCGCAGGCGTCTGATGTCGTCGGCTTCTCTGCGGCTGCTTGTGCTAGCGGTGTCGGAACGCGGTAAGAAATATCGATCCCGTTTTCGTCCGCCAATGTTCAATTCAACTCCTCCCTCCTCCCCTGAGCGGAAGTTGATGGTCTTCCCATCAATGGCATCACTAGATAGCCCAATTTTAACACCTCGGATGATCATGGTAATGCTGTCGTCGTCGACTCGGGAGCCGGTGGCACTGCCATTCTTGGTGTTGACATCACTGGTGTCGTCTTCTGAGTCACTGCTTTCAGATGATGAATCGTCTTCAATTGCATCATCGTCGTCGTCGCTCTCGGTTTCACTGTGTGGGATTGGAGGGGGCCGACGAGAAGCAGCCTTGCGGAGCATCTCAGTTGTGAGTGGTACTGGAGCTGGTGGCACTTGGGGAGCTGGGGGGGCCGGTGGGGCGGGCGGTGCTGGCGGATGTTGCTGCCTAAGCTGCTGTCGAGGCTGTTGTCGATGGACGCGAGAAATAGGGTATACTTGCATGGGAGGCTCCTCCTCCTCCTCCTCCTCCTCTTCCTCCTCTTCTTCTTCCTCCTCTTCCTCACTTTCAGTGTCAGTATCAGTTTCGCTTGGGCTTTCAATCTCTGGCTCTGGTTCTGGTTCAGGCTCGGGTTCAGGCTGGCGCTGGTGAATCGTCCGGGCCTTGGAGACACGACGAGAAGCCTTTCGGACCATTTCAGTAGTAAGCTGCGGCGCCTTCGGGGCCCGAGCGGCTTGGTATGCTTCCACTTCGCGTTGCTTCTGTTCTAAAAGATTCTCCTGTTCAATTCCGTATGTTGATACACGGCGAGGGCGGCGAGGAGCTTCTACAGCGACTCTGGCAGGCCTGGCAGCATCGTAGTATGTAGCGGTCCTCCGCGGCCTGGTGCTTGTAATCACCTGAGTCGTGCCTCTTTCTGGAGAGGGTTCACGAGCAGCACTGCGGCTCGTCCGTCGCTGAGGTTGGGGAGGTTGGTGATGGTACTGGTTAGCCCTTGGTGGTGGGAGTGCTTCGCGCATGCTAGACATATCGAATGATGGGGGACGATGAACCACAGTGGTGGCTGCCGGCGTGGTAACAGCTTTCTTCGGAGTCGGTCGCTTAGCGATGGGAATCACTTGAACAGGAGGCTGTGGCTGCGCTGGCTTGGATGCTGGAAGGCGAGGAGGTGGCATGCGGTAGTAATCTTCATCGTGATACGAGCGTGACTGCCGGCGAGCACGTTGTTCCCTAGATGGTCGGCGTTCCAACTTGCGATCCAAGTTTGGCATATGGCTCGGTGTAGGAGGAGTGTTTTCCACAACCGGAGGGCCGTAGACGGAGCCTCGTCTTGGTCGTTCAGATGAAGGTCGAGACATAGATGCGGTGCGGGGACGCTCGTAATGCATCATCACCTGGGACGAGTTTTCGTAAGACGAGCCCATGATTGGGGAAGGCTGAGTGTAGGATGAATCGAAAGGAGAGCCCATGTAAGCGTTCGTATAGGCTGAGGCAGAGAGTGGTGGACCGGCATGGCTGTTACCATACGGAGCTGATGGACCGCCTGCCATGTACATCATGTTCATATCAGGCACGATGCCGGGATGGAAGCTGACAGGGCGACTCTGCTGGTGGTAAGAAGACGAATTTGATCGACGAGAGTGTGTAATGGCCGGAGTGATGGACATGCCCATATCCATTGGTTGGTAGCGAGGAGTTTGAGGCGATGGTGGTACGTCGTACCCGGGGATTTGATTGAAGTACGACGAGGCGTCCATCATGTTCGGTATGATGCCCTGGGTGTGATATCCAAAGCGATCGCATTCGGCGCACACTCCGGGTGGATGCCTTCCTGCAGACATCGACTCTCGACGCCGGGCTTTGGGTGCATGTGTAAGAGCGGTCGGTCGATTCGAGCCTCGTGATGAAGGTGGCTTCATTCCATCGTGCTGCATTCCGTCCAAGTCTTTCTGCTCTCTCTCCTTTGCCTTGCGGGTATGTTGCTTTTCTCTATCCACTCCATCGCCCCGCGACCTCACACGAGGTATATCTCGTCCAGCCATGGCGTTGTTCATAGAAGCAGCGTACGAGCTGCTGGCACCGCTGGCACCGCTGGCAAGCGATTCTCCGCTACTCCCAATTGTCGCCGCAGTACGGCTTGAATAGCCAGAATCGCTGGCTCCGTCTGCGCTGATTATCACTGGGTGAAGGTCCGGCTTTGACCTTTTGGCGGAAATGTTTGCAACCCGTCTTGTTTCGGGGATTGCTACATTCGCATCTTCATCAAATTCTTCGCAGAAGGCGGCGTACGATTGCTGTGAGCTGACGAAAGACATGACGCGATTCAAAACGCGCAGGAAAGAATGGGTCGATATTTAGGTTCGGAAGAGAGCCGTGGTTTCGACAACTTCTGACCCAAACAAATTTGCGGAGCCTGATTGTTTGTTGATATAATGATAAACTTCAGTCGTTGGTGGATGATGTTGTCGTTGTTGATGTTTTGGTCGATGAAGTTGATGTCTTCGATGGCTAAGGGGGGTTTGTGTTATTTTTCTTGCACTCAATGTCCGCACCCCCTTTTTTACCACTCTGCGGTAGTAATGTTGCTCCCAGTGCGAAAAAGAGTGTTGTCTGGAAGCAGATATCTGCGTTTCACCTGTATACGGTTGCTCTGAGCTCCAATTCAAGTATAGATTCCAGTGAACAAAGCATGTGGTCCATCGAAGAGTGTAAGAGTTGAAAGTAGAAAACGAGAACGAAGTGGCTGTCTGTAGCGTGTGGGGGATCCGAGAACTATTATCTTAGTTGTCTTGACCAGCGCGGAAAGGGGTTAATGTTCCGGTTATATATTGATAAGGGGTTGGTTCAACGGGGTGAAAAGTAAATAAATAATAAAAGGCAAAAAAAAAGTTATATATCCAGGCAGTTATATGCGACTGAAGTATATAATTTTTGTGGCCCTTCTAGAAAATCGCAGGGGACAGGACTGGGATAGTAGTCCCGGAAACCGATGTCACGGAGAGTAAAAGAGAAAAGGGCTGGCCTTGCTGCTCAGTAATCTGGTAACTAGGCTTCTGTCTGGTCTGTACTCCGTAACTTTGATGGCTATAGCCGTGAGTATGCAGTGCTGCGGATGGCGGGGTTTTTGGATGCTTGAGCTGACGAAGGGTCTGAAACCGGGGCTGTTTCTGAGCCGGGGATGTCGACGATCGAGTAGATGCTCTCCTGGCGGAAGGAAGATGCAGGGAAACAGTCAAGAAAGGCGAGATTAGAGGGTCTAAAAGAGGCCGGAAAGGCTGCTGGACGGGGTGGTGGAGGGCGCAAGTCTGGTACGGTTGACCGGCTCAGCTGAGTAGATAGAGGGACAACGACGGCGAGGAAAACTGGGATACGAGACACGGAAGGTTTCCTTTTGAGCAGACCGGAGCGTCAAGAGTTGGACTGACGGTTGCACACGCCGTGGGAGGCTTTCGTCTGTCGTCGTCTTCGTCCTCTTTTGCTGCTCGCCTGCTGCTGCTGCTGCTGGTGGGCGGTTTTGCGGGCGAGCGAGCGATGTGACCCTCGGGACGACGATCAGCGTGTATATGGCCGAAGATAACGGAGCCAGACGGCAGAGCTGACTGCTAGTGATAATATCAGCAGCAAAGACAAACGAGCAAGGTGAAACTCGTTGTGGTTTGAGAGTGTCGGTTTGTGTGTGAAGTTGGGTTGACGTTGAGTTGTCGAAGTTGAGGTTTTGGTTGTGTTTGTGGGAAGAAAAAAGGACGTCGAGGTTTTTTTTTTTTGCCCTCTCTTTGACCTGGATTTTTTTTCTTCTTCTTCACCCGCAGGCCAAACGAGTCATCCTGCGAGACTCTGGTCGACCGTCTCCTTTCTTTTTTCTTCGCCGGTGGAGTCGACGGCTGTTTTCTTTGCTGGAGACAGTCCCGATTGCACGGCCGGCTTCATCACTGCCAGTGGTGGTGGGCTTCTAGAGACGAGAGACGGCCATGCCTACGCCAGGGAGAGAGAGAGAGAGAGAGGCAGAGAAGACAGACCGAGAGGGAGTTTTCCTTTCCTCCAGCTACGATCGAAGGTACGAGAGGCAGAGAAAAAGTTTCTACTTGCATATCCGTATACATATGGTACTAATATGTAAGTAATTAATACAGCTAGGATGAGCAGCAGCAGAGAATGTGAGGCAGAAAGAAAGCAGAGAAAGTGAAAAAAAGAAAGAAACACAAACACAGCCCTTGCGTTAAGGAAGACGCCTATGGAACCATGTTGAAGAAAAGGCTGTGTTCCTCGCTGTTACATCTGACGTTGAGTTGGCTCTTGGATTGGGATACAGACTGAGAATCAGGGAGAGCAGAGACAGAGAGGACAGGATAGCCACGCAGCAGGAGAGGACTAGTTAAGGGAAGAATCTGCTAGTTACAGGCTCTGACACACAGGACGAGCGAGATCTGCTGGGATGTTCGACTGTGATCCCCTGCCATGCAGCCTCTCTCTCCCTCCTCACTTGAAAAAAAGCCGAGACGATAGACGGTTGACGAGGGGCAAATATCGACAAGCCGTTTTACTTCGGAATGATGACATCGTGTGAAGGAAGAAAGAGGAGCTAACGAGTTATCTTTTTTCACCAGTGGGTCGAGTTTAAGCCGACTCTTTAGCTGGAGTCTGGAAAACTTCCCTTGATCCACCGCTTTACCATAAAAAGCTGATGTTTGTATACAAGCTGATACTAAACATAGTTAACTTCTCGGTTTTTGGCAGAGGAGACGGCGTCAACAAAGACAGCACTGCCGACAGGATACACAAGAATAGCCCTCAACGCTTCCCATAAATTATTCTTATTCAAGCTTACGAAGACCAAAAGCCTTCTCGCCGACGTTTCAGCCCATCCAGCCCCCCACGAATGAACGTGGCCGGGCGAGCCTGAACATTCAAAGGCCAAAATTATAAATATCAACCAGTATGTAACGAAATACACAGGCCATACCGGGCCCTAACCATTTTTCAAAAAAAGAAGCAAAAACACTTCCCTTCTCCAGTCCCTTGGCCAGGCGAAGGAGAGTGAAAAAAAGGAAAGAAGACTTTTTTTTTTCTCACTCCATGATCCGATGCTGCCACGATTGGGCTCCAAGATTTAGGCTTTCACACACTCGCACCCAAGGAGCCATTGGGCAGCAAAAAAAAGACACGATGTTGGCTTCACACCCTGGGGCGTTTTCCGAGGGCGACTCTGCGGCGAGGTTATTGCCTGCCTTCGATTGCTTGGATTTGTGTCCATGAGTCATCGGCCGGGCAGAGCCTTCTTCTTCCTTGCTCAACTACGTATGGAGTGCATACATGCATATTGATACAAGGCAGCAAGCATTCTATCTGACAGACGATACAGATACAGTGTATGAAACCGGTAGACTTGCGGCAGTCGCAGAGTTGATGAGATAAGCGTCCCGCTGCATCCTTGGTGCATAGAGCAGCCGGATATAAATGAATGTGCGCTAGGCAAGGAATACGATCCAAATATCAACGTCATAGGTGAAGAGATGTTGGGGGGAGAGGGGGGTGGAGGAGGGCTGGAGAGGATGGGGTTGGAGGGGGGGGGATTCCAGCTATCATTCCCCATCTATGCTACTCTGACATTGATTATAGTATCGTTAAGCTTGTTTGTTTGGCTGGAGTTGACTTTTACGCTTTTTTAATGTACGTATCTTTTTTTTTTTCTTTTTGGTCACATGAAGATTTGTTGGAGTACACAAAGGGTGTGTAAGTGATGTTTGATAGTAGCTAGACCGATGCGATGGCGGGATGAAAGGGAGATATCCGAAATTACATCCTACGGGAAAAAGAACGTTAGCCCTGAGCAATGATCAACGATATCGGATATCGAGATGGAGGGTTAGATGGAGATGTTAAGACAAGGAACAGGACTCACCGCTTGACAGGGTTCAAACCCAGAAGCCGCATGCCATTATGGAGGACTTGACGGGCGGACTCATAAAGCGCCATTCTCGCCATCTTCACCTCCGGCTCGCTGCCCACGACCTTCAAGACATCATAGCCGGAACTCAGCATGTGTGTCATTCGGAACAAATATGTCAGTATTGTACAAGGCTCCAGCGTCTTGGAGGCATTGAATACCACGTCCGGCCACTGGGCGAGTAGGCGGACTAGGTCGACGGCATGCGACTCTGTAAGTAAACTGAGGTCTGCACTGCCTAGTTCTTCCGGGTTGATCTCGGCCTTTCTGGTCACAGAGCAGACACGCGCGTGTGCGTATTGCAGGTATGGCCCTGTGTCACCCTCGAACGAGGTCATGTTCTCTAGGTTGAACTCATACCCGTTGATCCTATTCCGAGCAATACAAGTTAGTTTACCCCATGTTACTTTCGTCTATCTCTTGGGTTGGATTCTCCCCAGATGGCAATGAACAAGGCAAAAAAAAAGAAAAAAAAGGCTGTAGAATATAAAACTGTCCGAGGAGGCCCATGTATATTCCACGTGTGGAAGAAGATGCCGAACATACCGTTTACCGCTCATATCCTGCACCATCACTGACGTTATTCCAAGAACATCGGCGGTTGCCACTGGATCTTCGATCTGCTCGTACTTGGCTTGGTTCTTTTGCATGACCTCGTGCATTTTTTCTCCAACATCCTTTAGAATATCGTTTAGGAACTTGACTGTTCCTTTTCGAGTGCTCATTCCCCTAACCATACCGAAGCTGATATGCTCACAACGGTTTGCCAGATCCTTCTTTCCAACTAACTCTGTTGTCTTGAACAGCTGGGCAAGGTGAAGCTCCTGCTGAGCAGCTACAACGTAGATCATCTTATCGAACTGGTATTCGTCGTCTCGCTCAACGATAGCAGCAATGTCTCGTGTGAGATAGAGCGGCGTTCCATCCTTTCGGATCACGATGGCCTTTCCAAGCTTCTTTGCCCCGTGTTTTGCAAAATCGATGATGACAGCGCCTTCTGAGCTTTCCGAGACACCCGCGTTCTCCATGGCCTTGTAGGATTTCTTTATGCTTTCGTCCTTGACTTGGGACTCTCCAGAGTAAACATCAAAATCGATGTTCAGCCGAGCATATGTCTGCTTGTACTTGTCAATACTGAGATCTCGGAATCGCCGCCACAGTTCAAGTGCTTTCTCATCTCCGTCTTCCATGCTCTTGAAGTATCGACGGGCCTGCTCATCATAGCTTGCATCGACTAGTGGCTCGAGCTTCTTCTCCAACTCCGTGACATCTTCATTCTTCTCCTTTTTGGCTTTGATCTGCTCCTTGAGCTCCTTTATCGGGCCTTCCTGTGCAGCTACGTCTTGGTTGATCTTCACATAGACCTCAAATAGGTGGTTGATGGGGTCCTTCAGAAGCTCCTCTTCGCTGCCATACTTTTCGTATCCGCTGGCAAGCAGGCCATACTGCTTTCCCCAGTCTCCAAGGTAGTTGATTTTGAGAACTTCCCATCCTAGAATTGTGTATAGGTTGGCAATAAATCCACCAATGATGGTACTTCGAAGATGTCCGGCGTGGAAAGGCTTCGCAATATTTGGGGACGAGAACTCTACCACGAGTTTCTTCTTTCCTTTGCTTGCATCTCTTTGATCTCGTAGACCGACGTTTGGATTGCTTCCATATGCGTCTTTGTTTGCCAAAATCGAGCGGATCACGTTTTCGGTCATAGGTCTATGGCTGTAAAAGAACTGAAGATGCGCACCAACGACGACTGGTGGTTCAATCAGGTCAGATTTCGGAAATTTGGCAGCGATATCCGCCGCAATTTCTTGTGGCTTTTTGCCCTTTATCTGTAGTGCGGGTACCTAGAGCATAACACATACTCCATAAGCAACTATCAACACCACCGACCCTCAATAGCAAAACCAAACTTACAGGGAGAATCAAGTCACCCTTGTCCAGCATATTTGTCCATAGTATCTTGGTATAGACAAACGCCGGTTCCAGCCCTGAAGCTTCTGCGACCAACTCTGCAATATGCGCGCGGTACTTGTCCACTGGGTTGAAAGCAGGGTAGCAATTGGGATAACTCGACACCTCCGAGCTAACGGACTGAATCGACAGACTCGCAATAGAAGGAATAGCGTCTGAAGCCATGGTTAATACCGGACGAGTAGCCGTAGTCAATGATAGAGTCGTCCCGCGCCTGTCGATGTATGGTGGTGGGGTTCGACTTCGACCCAGGTTGCGTGGCAGCAGCCGACAGTAGCTGGAGAAACTTGATATGCTGATTCGAGGCTTGAATATGCCGGAGTATACAGTTAAAGAGCTTCGAAGGAGTTGCTGGTGCATCCAGAAAGCAGTTTTGCGCCGGACGCTGAAAGGTTGAAAGAATCGAAAAACTTCTTGGTGAGTCAAAAAATTAAAAGCGCGGATGGAGGTTTTGCCCCACGTGAGTTTATTGGTGCGAGGGAGCCAGCTCGGACTAAAGCAATTGATAGATCACGGCAAGGGATGGACGGCTTTTGATGCAGGAGACATGAACGAGAGACTTGATGAGACGGACGAGGCGGCTGTTTGAGATGCGAGAGATACAGCTAGTTATCGGGTCTATCTATTCCCGTTTGAGCATGGTCTTATCGATATCAATATGAGGCTGATACGCCCGGGATTGGAAGTGCAATTGGCAAGTAGGGTTAACTGCTTATTTTATGGTGAAATTGCGGCAGAGGTCAATAACTAGATCTAACGAGAAAGGAGAAAGCTCTAGATGCCATTATAAAATCAAAGTAGTTATTGCTGGGTGCTGGAACCACCGGAAAATCGACCAATGTCACAGAGCGTAGCGCCTTTCCTAACCACTGCTGTAGTAAGTACGTATTCCCCAGGACGGACAAAAGAGAAGTAAACCCAAGACTGAATATATTCGGGCAAGAGAGCTTGTGTTAAGAAGAACTCTCCTCGGTCGTTATGATACTACTGCTACCAGGGACGGCACAGTATGTTTTCTGGTTCCGATACTTCGCAAGCTGGATTTGGGTTCGGACATGATTGTAGGTGGTGTCATCGAGGTATTTACGGCGCATGGTAGCGGAGCCGCAAAGCTGCTGCATCCGTACCTGCATTGTCAGCGGCGTGGTAGCGAGTTGATCGGCGGGGGTATCCGGTGGCCTAGCCCAGGCAGCATAAGGTCCGCTGTAGTTAGGACCTTTTCCAGGGCCGAATTTGTCATGCCTGACTATTTGGCCCGACTCAATCAGCGCATTGGCAGCGCTCGCAGCACTGTCCAGGTTGCCCGCTAGTTCATCTCCAGCATGTTCGAATCGCATTGACTTGTCGTCATCCTGAGGGGATGAGGTGGAAAGTATGTGGATGCTACCACCAGTATCTCCAATGAGCATAGTCGTCTTATCAGAGGATAATGCTCCAGATGTAATATCAGTACCAAGATTAGCAATGTCCCTGACGAAAACGTCCTCTGTGGCAGCCATGATGTTCCAGAGTTTCACACACCCGTCGGAAGATCCAGAATAGAATCTATTTGGCTGATCCCCCCAGAGTGCAAGCTGTACACCTACATCTTGCTCCCTAATCGGTGGGCCATGCTTAAGTTTATGAAGAATCTTGTCGGGATTTCTCCAGTCCCACACATAGGTTGTTCCGTCAGTACATCCAGCAGAGATGTAGTTCTCATTGAATGGGCAAAAGGTCACATCATTGATATCAATACCAGGGCAATCATAGCTAACTATGTCCCTCTTACCCCTCAATGGATCATAAACATTTACCATTGACCGGATGTCCGAGCCTAAACCCTTGGAGCGACCACAGGCAGCTATGCCGGCAGCGAATAGAGGCGACGTCGGATGCCATGATATATCAAAAACATTCTGTGAGTTAGGCATCACATTCACTTGGCTAACGCCAGCTTCTTCCATTCGCCAAAGTGCGAGGTGACCACCGATCGGAGGGACGCCGTGCATATCCGTATTATCGGGTAAAGACATTCCTGCCGCAAGAAGATCTTTAGTATAAGAATTGACTCCCCAGGCTAAAGATGTCGGTGTCATGAGCTTTTTGTGACGTAAATGTATCTCCAATGATGAAGAAAGAGCAAGGCCGTACTCTTGTTCAACATGCCACAGCAGAAAGCTATTCTCACGATCAGATCCAGTAGCCAATCGACTATTATCAACCTTTGAAAGCGCCATAACTAGGACTTTCCCAGGGTGACGGAGAGTGGTGATACATTTAGTATTCTCGTGGCTTGAAGTATCCCATACCTTGACGGTTCGGTCATAGCTGGAACTGAACATCCGGGTCCCATCATTGGACCATGCTACTGCACTGATAGATGTGTAGAGTTGGGAGTCGTTTCCGCTTCCTCCTTCATTTGCTCGTGTTGGGTCAAATAACGCTCGCGGCATCCGATGATCGGGAAGTTCTTTAAGGCTATTAATAGTCAAATCTCCCACCACTAAGTTGTTTCGCCGGTTATACATCATATTCCCTGGAGAACAGGACGTTGCAGATCCGGCCACGAAACGAGTACCATCAGGAGACCATTCAAGCACCACGACATCCTGCGATGCGCCCTTCCATGACTTCCAATGCTCCCAGTTTTCATTTGCTGATTTGGCCAAGGTTTGATATATGGAAGCTTTTCCCCTATATACCCGGTATCCAAGTTCACGGGCTCTAATATGAGATAATACATTGGCAGAATCGTACGGCTGTAGATGTTCGTATGGTTTGGATGGATAAGCTCGAAGAGTTGACGGTGAGGTAGACAGCCAGCCATTTTTAGCATCAATTAGAAATGCGCGAAACGCATGAGAAGCCCGACGTCCTAGAATCTTTATTTCTTCAGCCACTGCTCGTAGCTTCTGTTCATCAACTTGTTGTAACAGAGCTTTAAGATGGGCATTAATATCGTTTTTCACAACAAGAGCAGAGACCAGAAACTTCTCTTTTAGAAACCGGCATATGGTAATCAGATGTTTAACAGACTTAATCTGTTGCGCCATTTCACAATTTCGGCAACCCAAAAGGAACTCCAGTATATCCGCGGTGTATCGTGAAAGAACCAGTTTTACTTCATGAAGGGTAGCTAATCTCTGAAGCAGACCCTCAATTTCACCGCAACCAAACAATTGCCGAGTATACTCGGTAATAAGGTCCTGGATACAGCCTTCGTTCCGTGTTTTCTCCCCGCTCCTCATAAAGCGGTAGAGTACGTTCAATTCATTCATGCATAGGTCAGCATGTAATAAAGCCCCTTCGCAACTAGTATTGGTATGCTTCTTCGTCTTCAAAAGGGATTCAAGGTCCTTTCTCTCCTTCAGAGAGCAGTAAGGTGCATACTCAGGTGCAAAGTCAACCAGGAGCTCCCTTACCACAATATGAGTAGCGGAGCGGTAACATACACGGCCCGACCCATTCAACGGTTCGGACACTGAACTAAGAGAAGAAGGTGGAGGCGAGAGTGGTTTGCTGGCTAGGTAGTTTTCTTCATTTTGATTTTGCGGACTACAACCCCGCGGTGTACGTCCGTAGTATTTGAGAGGGCCTTTTCTTCGCCTTGATGACCGGGATGCTGGGGGTATCGGAGCCTCAATACAATCAAAGAATGGAGAATCTTCCCTCTCTATTTTTTTAGTGTTCCTGCGCTTTAATCTTGTTGATGTATGGGAAATATGTCTGTGTACGGGTGGTTCAATTGATTGAGGTGTCCTGTCGGGTATTTCCACCACAGGATAAAGCGAAGACGATGCTCTCTGTGAAGGTGGACTTTCTGACTGCGTTTGTGTTCGATTGTTTATTCTGGAACTGTGGTCGTCTCTCTTTTTACTTCTCTCTGATGCCGTGGACGTCTCATTGGGTTCAGCTGCTCGTTTTGTAGGGATAACGGAGGAGTCCCGTGAGATACTCTCTGTGGAAGCATCATCATTATGGTTTTTAAAAGATAAAAAACAGCCTAAAAGTGCATTCGCTTTCTGGCTAACTCGTTCGATATCCGACTCGCTTTCTGATAGTGAGATTGAGGCTGGACTGGCGTTTGCTGGAGGCACTGCGGCGGCGCTGGTGCGGTTTCTCGAGGTAGCGGGCCTACTTTTTCTTGTAATAGGCCTGCAGCTCTGTTGACCTTCCGTCTTTCTATTTCGAAGGGGCATTTATCCTTAGTTTATCCGTTCCTCTGCCATGTAACAGCTTCTCTCAGGCTACGGGGTCCAATGCACCTATGAAGAAGGGTTAGTTGTGATTTGAGCCGCGCGCATTTCTTAGCAGAGTACAATTAGCAAAGATGACTATCAGCTTCAGTAGCTCACCAGTATCGCCCCAGTCGCTCAGAAGGAGTTGCTATCAGAACCTGGAACTGTGGTTTGTGTTCTTTGGTGTTTGATGGTTGACACGAGCTGAGATATAAACGTATTTAATAGTTAAAGCTTATCGTCCTGCAGCGGTCTTGGCGCAGGCGAGATAACAAGGTGCCTATTGTTACTATCAGATCTCGCAAGGACATACAAGCGGTATGAACGAAACGTTCTCTGACTCATTGAAGACGCGGGATTTTTATTGTTTAACAGGACTGATGACAATACTCGTAGGATAGCTTATTGTGATTATACAAGTAAGATCAAAAAGACATCAATCACATCGGATTTGGTAATCGTTGAATATGTTCGGCGTTACGAAGCAGTGAATGATCCAGCCACTGAGTGAATAAATCGATTAACATTAGATAAACAGTTACATACTCATGCCGAAACATATATTCGTGTACCCATTATGCATCGCTAACCAAGGACATGGCTTTGAATACATTTTTCCTTCCAGAGAAGCCCCATCTATGTTTTCATACCGCCCATAACAAGGAAATGGGAGACAGCCTTAGAAGCAGAAGACTTGGTCCTCGAGCTTGCTGACGAGATTGGCCTTTTTGTAACCCAAAGACTCTGTGGCCTTCTTCATGGCGCTAACCATAGGGGGCGGACCACAGATCATGATTTTGATATCGTCCGCTGGCGCAGGAAGATGGGCCTAGCAGTGAGATTTAGCAACAAGTTCAAAAATATGGAAGCAAGTTGAAAGAGCACTAACCTTGATCATGCTTGGGGTAACAAAGCCAACACCGCCTTGCCACATTTCCGGAGGATTGTTCAAAACGTAGTGAACACGGAAAGCCTTGTCAGTTTTGGCAAGTTCATCAAGCTCTTCCTTCAAAAGAATATCCTCCACATTTACGTTTGCGAAAATAAGGTCAACCTGCGTGGTATCGTTTCCTCCGTTGCTTGGTCTGCCCTTGACGATTGCTTTGATAACCTGAAGCATTGGTGTGATACCGGTACCTCCGGCAATCATACCAATATGTCGGGCCATGTTAGGAGTATAGACCATGGCACCCTTTGGTCCGCGGACTTTCATCGTGTCTCCGATTTTCAGGGTAGTCATGTGCTTGGAGATGTTGCCCTGAGGATACGACTTGATGAGAAGGTCGAAGTATCCGGCATTGTCATCAGAGGAGATAGGAGTGTAGGAGCGAACGATCTCCTTAGTCTGGCCCTCTACAAGTGCTGCAAGAGAGATATGCTGACCAATTGGTAACCCAAGGATGTCTGTTGGGCGAGGGAGGGCAAATCGGTAAATGGCAACGTTGTGGGAAACAATTGTTTTCTCCTTGAGTACAAATTTCTGGAACTCGTTGGGCTTCAGGACCTTCCGCTGTCCTACAAGTGATAATTTGTCAGTATTGTCGCCTGAGGATAGAAAATTATCACCGAGAGACGGGGTGTGGGGGAGGGGAGTCATTACTGTTGCTAAAGATCTTGTAAGCTCCGAGAACCACGGCCAACGCCACGGCATAGATAACCCATTCAAGCTTCATGATTGCAGTTCCAGCAATCAGCAGACCGGCAGGAATATAAACACCGTCAATATATTTGCGAGAAGCCCATGCACTTAACCCACACAGTCAGTATTTCAACAGTCTAGATGCAACGCTCGAATGGTACACCGAAAACAAACAACAAGGAACGGACCTCATTTTTATACCCCGGAAGCTGTGCAGACGGACCCGCAGCCAGAGTAGCGAGACTAGTTTTGAGGAGGGAGCTGTTCCGGCGAGAATTGGAACCCGGGGAGAAAAAACCGATCACGAGCAGGTCCAGCAGCAGGGAAAAAAACAGTTGGGATGTTTTCCGTGGCGTCACTAGTTGCTTATGTAATATAATCCTCCGCGCCCTATCCAAACGTCACAGACAATTACGTAGGATTATTAGACTTTCAAAGTCATGTGATAGGTCAGGTGCCTCGGGCTTGGCAGTCTGTGCTCTACAACCATCAAACGTCGACATCGACATTGATATCGACAATTGACGTCCACTTCCTTGCTATATCTGTACAACGAACATATTATTACTCGGTATAGAAGGGAGCATAACAGCCCAACAGTTGGAATGGTGCCGCAGTCTCTAGATGGGGAGGCTGGCTTCCCCCTCAGTGAGAGTGATCGTCAGATTCTCGCCCAGACAGACGACGAGTTTATCTGCCACGACTGGCAGCAACTGAAGGACATCATAGGTTGAACAGCCCTCCAGCCATCTCGTTTACTCTGTATATGCAAGCCGAAGAAACAATGTATGGCGTCAAATGGAGGGCGGTGGCACTAATTCTGTCTTTTATAGCAAGTAATCAGCTAGAACTGCTCAAGCGGAAACCATCCGATCTACGCCGATACGCGGCATGGAGCTCCACTATCAAAGCGCGATATGGGAATATAGCAAACTTCTTATGCAAAGAACGCTTGCATTGGCCCATAGACAGAGATCCGCAGACCTTATGCCAGAATCCGACCCTTTTCGCAGATCCAAGGGATTATAAAATTCTTCGGAATGACTGGCCGTACGGCCTCACACCAGATATTACACATATGTGTGTATGGGTTAAGAACAGGATAGATACTACTCCTGAAACTGGAGATGTAACCGAAGAATCACGGGCGTTGATTGACGATTTCGTCCATAGAACATTTACGTCTCATCTGAGTGGGTTCAGTGATGCCGCTGATAGAGTCATATGGTTTAAGAATTGGACCGCCCTGCAGAGTATAAGATCTTTAGAACATATCCATGTGCTTGTGAGGGATATTCCAGATAAAGTTATTGTGGAGTGGACTGGTGAGGAGGCCAGGGAGCTCTCCCAACCAGATGGGGCACTTTTATAAAAAGTTATAGAATTTATATCGCCTTAGGGTTGGAGGGAATAAAATTCTTGGAGCGCCATGAACAAATACATTGATACCGTAAATCAAGGCGGGCACACAAACACCCGCGCAAACCGGCACAAATAGAACGCCGTCCCATCATTATAGAATAATACGCTGAGACAGCAGTAGTCAAGAATAAAGGGAAATCAACAAACATAGCACATATATACGTAAATAACCATGGAATGGCTGCATTCAAGATTTCTGTTCATCCACAAACTTCAAAGCCTCCTCGCGCGAGACGACATCAATGGTACTGGCCTTGCTACGGAAGCTTACGCCATAGCACTTCTCTGCAACGTGGAGCATCTCAGGCCGGAATGTTGTACAGATGAACTGGCCGTTAGTTTCTTCCGATATGGACTGGAGCATCTGGGCCACGGCGGTTCGGTATTGGGCGTCAAGATTAGCGTCGATTTCATCAAAGAGGTAAAAAGGTGCAGGATCGCAAGCCTGGATCGCAAAGACAAGAGCAAGCGCGCATAAACCTGTGAAATGTTAGCCTTTCTTTTTATAATTGAGAGTCAAATGGATATATATACTCTTTTGGCCACCACTAAGCTGCTGGATCCTCTGCTGATCATCGTGTTTGCTGTTAAAACTAACACTGATGCCAACTCCGATGTAGTTCTCCACACTACGGCGAGCCTCCTCCTCATCGGAGTCCATGTCCTCTTGCTGTCGAGTGGCAGCATCGGTTTTCCTCTGGATGATAAGTCGTCCTCGACCGGCGGGGGCTAGCTTCTCAAATATCCTTGCAAACTCTCTCGAAACCTGCTTGAAGGTTCGTTCAATGGCTTCATCCTTTCTTTGATCCAAGATCATAATCAGCTCGTCAATGGACTTATGGGATGCATCAAGTTCCTCTCGACGTTTGGTAAGAGTCTCTCGCTGCTTCGTGAAGCTGTTGTATTGCTCAAACGCCTTCTTGTTCACATGAGAATATTTCTTGAGAGCTTCATTAGCTTTATGCAACCTCTTGACAATTGTGTTGGAGTCTGTGTTTTTGAATTTAGTAAAAGCCTCATCGGGAAGCACTCCGAGGTCGCGAATGTTAGCGCTGCATTCCAAAGCTTGAGCAGTCAAGGCTGCCTTTTTCTGCATACTCTTTTCCATACGGCGTTGGTGCTTTTCGATGGATTTAGCGAATTCCTCCAGCTCACGTTTTATATCCGCTCGACGCTGTTCGAGTTGTGAAGCTTCGTTGTTTTGTTGTTCTATGGTATTCTCCAGTTTTTGAAGCTTCTGGCTGAGTTTCTCGAGTGCCTTCTGTTGTTTCTTGACCTCCCTCTCGCTCTCCTTTAAGTTCCCCTGAGCAGTCTCTTCCCCAACATCTAGACCTTGGCCAGCTAGGTGATCCAGCTGTGGATAAAGGTTTTCACGTAACTCAACTTCTAAGATTGATTTCCGGGTTTCTAGCTCACTGCGGCTACTAGATAGTGCGGCATGCTCTCGCCGAAGATCCTGCACCATAGAGTTGAGACTCTCTAACCGTGCCTCCTCGGCATTTGAAAGTGCTTTCTCAAAGGGTGTCGCAAGTTCCTCCTCATGAGCTGCTATTTGGCTAGTGAGTGAATCGATATTGGCTTCAATATTCTTAAGAGCGCGCCGCTTTGCCTCAAGAGCATCAGTTTTGTTGTGCAATAGATCCCGCTTGCTCTTGAGCTCTTGTCGTAAGGGACCATTGCTGGAGTGGAGCTGCTGGCGTTTTTGCTCTGCTTTTTGAAGGTGACCAACTGCCTGTGTAATCAATTGGTCCATCTTCTCCAGCTCACGCCGAATCTCTCCCCCACGAGCCTTCTTCGCATCGTACTCGTCTCGCCATTTCGCAACGTTCTTTGTCGCATCAAGTCGAGACTTCCTTGAATCATGGAAACCACCAGTAAGAGCACCGCGCTTGTCGGATCGATCACCTTCAGGAGTAATGGCATTAACGCCATGGCTGCGAGCATACTGGGATGCGATCTGAAGATTAGGGCAGATAATCGTCCTCCCAAAAACTTGTTGAAAAGCGGGCTCATACTGAGGGTCGTATTGCAGTTTTTCAATCATTGGAATTGTGTCACTAGCCCGAGGAATATTGCTAGCTCTCGGCTTAAGTCTGTTTAATGGCATGAAAGTGACTCTTCCTGACTTTTCCTTTTGCAATATCTCTAGGACTTTGGTAGCTGTCTCATCCGTATCGACAACATAATGGAAGAGGCTCTGACCAGCGGTGACTTCAACGGCCGTACGATATCTATCGCTAACGTCAAATAACTCTGCAAGCGTTCCATAAACACCCTCAAGGTTATATTGACGTTTGATTCGTCGTACTGCTGCAAGGCCCCTGCTGGTATTTTGGTCCATCATGTGGGCAAGTGCTCTTTCTGCTCTTTCTACTTCATGGGTAGCATTGGTGAGAATTGAGTCTAGCTTAGCCTCTTCTCTCCACAGCTCTCTATACCCAAATGTTAGATATAGCACAACGAAATGAGGCAATACGTAGGGACTTACTTTCGCTGATCAATTAGCCTATCCCGTTCATCCTTTGCGGTTTGAACTTCTTGATCAATAGATTGAAGGTTGTCACCCCAGCCATCAGCTTCCTTTCGAAGTTTCTCAACCTCTGGCTCCAGAAGGGCGATGTCATTTTCGAGTTCTTGGATTTCCTTGGTGGTCTGCATTCGAACGGCCTTAACAGTAGAGACTTGGGCATAAGTATTCTGTATTTCACTCTGTAGCCAATTATCACGTTCCCCTTTGTTTCGGAACCTGGATATTCGCCCTTGCTTTGCATATAGACGCTGTCTGCCTGTTTCAGCCTCATTCAAACTGAATTTGGCCTGGTCTTCCTGTTCTTTCATTTCATTGAATTGAGGAAGCAATGTACTTAGCTCTTCTTCACGCTCCTTGATGGCAGCGTTCACTCGTTCGACGTTCGCCTCACGCTCCGCCTTTGACCTTTGAGCAGCGCTCTGGCCTTCTGACAGGGATTTCCGCTGTAATTCAGCTTGCGCGAGTGCTCGAGATGCATCGCGCCTATCATCTTCCAGTTGGTCCTTTTCTAGCTTTAGAAGCTCCATTTGCTGCCTAAGCTCTGCCTTTTGGGTGTCTATTTGAGCAATGTCATTTTCTCCCTGCATCAGCCTGTTTCTATTGGCGTCCGTATCCTCAACTCCAGCTTGTCTTTGGTCATCAATGCTTTCCAAAGCGCTCGCGATCTCAGCTTGTTCTCGAGAATAAATGGTGTATTCAAGGCACCGTCTCTCCCTTTCCTTCTCCTGAAAATTCCTAAGTTCATCCTTTTCTTCCTCAAGCTCCCCAAGCCTCTCGTTGATATAATCCAGCAATTCATCAATCTTTGCTCGTTTATTGTTGGTCTCGTTCATTATCTTTAGAGATTCCGTACGACGCGCTTCATAAACCTGAGTTCCTGCGACTTCTTTCAGAAGTACTAGCCGTTCAGAATCCTTCATATTTGTCAAAGTTGTCACTCGACCCTGTGGGACGATGTAATAGGGGTTTGACCTCGAGAATCCAGCAGACTCCAGTAGATTCATGACATCAGACTTGGTGGCATTCTTCCGGTCCAAGGTGTATTCATCCTTCTTTAAACCGATGGTACGGCGTAGTATGAGTTCATCCTTGCCTGTTGGGAAACGGTCATCCGAATTGTCGAATATAATCTCAACGTACGCTGACATAACCGCAGAGCCCGAGCCCTCCTGCTTATTATTAGCAATCGCATATAAATTTGAGAGGTGGGCGACACGGTATCCATACATGTAGCAGCGCCTGGCGCTCTTCCCTTCCCATGTGTGTATAGGCATCACTAAGAACGAACCGAATGGCAGCAAAGAAATTACTTTTGCCAGAGCCATTACGACCAACAATCACATTGTGCTTTGGAGAGAACGGTTCAATGACCGTTTGATCTTTGTAGCTATTATACAATATGCCGTTAGCAAAAGCTCTATACAAACCGAGGAAATGGCTCCCCCCCTCACCTACCTCTTAAAGCCTTGGATAATTATTTGCTTGATGAACATCTTCACGGGTAAAGTATTATGGTCAACCTGTCATCATCTGAGTGCGCCCCGGTGAGAAATAGGAGCAAAAAACCCACGTCTCAGCGTCCTAGGAGAAAACGTAGCTCTCTACCAAACATCGCCTGGTGAGAAATGCCAACGCGTCTAAATTGAACAAGCAAGCGCGTTTTCTGCCTGCTTACGTAATGAAGCTAGGGCTGTCGGCGGCGGCAAAATAATTAAGCGACCGATAAGCATATTACGTAATCGTTATCGCTAAAAAAAAATAAAGTGCAAATATCAAAATCTCGGGCATCAAAAAGTAGATCTCGACGAAACTTTTCATGAATTACAAGCAGATTGTCGATATCATAAGGCTCTATCAATAGTTGAACTGGTTGATGATTTCAAAATTATGACAGGAGGTATCAAGCTGGAGGACACTCCTGAAAGGAGACCCGAGGACAACACGGAACCGTCAACTACTGAAATGCACTCTACAGACCCCGCCAACGAGCTTGAGGGCATTGAAGAGCTAGAGGATGACGAATTCTATGATGATATTTTTGATGATGAGCTGGATGAGATAGACTTTGGTGCTTCAAACCCATCTGACTTCACTAAATCCTATAACAGGCAAAGGAAGCTAAATGAGGTTGCTGCCGATGCAAATGCCCCCCTTTCCTCATACCCAAAGAGTAACCCCCAAAAACCGACTGTCAATACGTTCGCGAAGGTTGACGATCAGATATCAACATTATCACGGCATGCTGGAAAAATCAGACTGGATGATGCGCAGTCTGGGCTAAAATCGAAGGGTGGAAGAGGAGCAGACAAGAGCGACAGAGCTACATCTGAACAAGTGTTGGACCCGCGGACTCGCATGATATTGCTTCAGATGATCAATAGGAATATTGTCTCAGAGGTCAATGGCTGTCTATCCACAGGAAAAGAAGCCAACGTCTATCATGCGATCTCCCAGCCAGACGATGACAGTCCGGACCTTCATAGGGCTATCAAGGTATACAAGACCAGCATTTTAGTATTCAAGGACAGAGACAAGTATGTCACTGGTGAATACAGATTTAAGCAGGGGTATAATAAGTCCAATAACCGCTCTATGGTTAAAGTGTGGGCAGAAAAGGAGATGCGAAACCTCAAACGCCTCTACTCTGCAGGCATTCCTTGCCCTGAGCCATTATACCTTCGACTTCACGTCCTCGTGATGGGCTTCCTCGGAAATTCAAAGGGAATACCAGCTCCTCGGCTGAAAGATGTACAGCTCCAAGATGAGGACCTAGATTCCCGGTGGAAATCTCTGTACATGGAGCTGGCGTCACACATGCGAACCCTGTACCAAGACTGCCGCCTCGTCCACGCTGATCTGAGCGAGTATAATATTCTATACCACAACCACAAGCTCTACATCATCGATGTCAGTCAGAGTGTCGAACAAGACCACCCCAGGAGTTTAGAATTCTTGCGTATGGACATTAAGAATGTCAGCGACTTCTTCCGCCGCAAGGGAGTCGACACTCTCCCTGAACGAACATTATTCGAATTCATCACCTCAGTCGATGGCCCTCGTGCTGTATCTGGGGATCTGGGCCCAATGATCGAGGTACTAGAGAAGCTTTTTACCGCCAGGGCAGAGCGCCAGGAGGAAATCGGTGATCAAGCCGAAGGCGAAGAGAACGATGAACTTGACACAGCTGTCTTCCGACAGCAATATATCCCTCAGACACTCGAGCAGGTCTACGATATAGAGAGAGACGTTGAGAAGCTCCGAACTGGAAAGGGTGATGAACTGGTTTACCGCGAGCTTCTAGCTTCGGGTGCGGGACCGAACAAATCGGTGTCTAAGAATGAGAATGAGGGGGATGAGGATCTTGGAGAAGACTCCGATGTCTCTGGAGGTGTGTCTCTGTCCGATAACGGCTCCCAGTCCGGTGACGCAGATGAGGTGGACCCATTCGCAAAGAAGCCACCACGAGGCAAACGGTTTGAGGACAAAGACGCCAAACGCGACCATAAAAAACAAGTCAAGGAGGAGAAGAGAGAGCAGCGGGCAAAGAAGATACCAAAGCATGTCAAAAAGAGACTTGTCAACTCGTCAAAACGCAAATGAGTGTTAAGGATTCGATTATGTATCCTTTTCATATCCGCCTTGCATTTCTACATCGATAAAAATAGTATGCTTAACATCATGAATGAATATACTCTTCGAAAACCGCATTGGCCCTCCTTTTTGGGCAATACTCCACGCATTGGCTTGGACTTATAAAGGATACACGCTTTTTTTGCCCAGGAAGGGGTGTTTGCTTTGATTTGATTTAAACTACATACTTTTGAAATGTTCACCAATGAGTGGATGCATTCCTTCGATGCCGACGTCTAAAAGGATGAAACATGACGCGGAATAGACAGTATACACATCAGAAAAACTGGACTTCAGCAAGGGTTAAAGGCAGAAATTCTCAAAAGGCCATATTATCCCTTCGATTACCATTCCCATGTCAGACAAAACCGATATCAAGCTGAGCTTCTTCAAGAGTCAATATCCATAGCAAATCTAGCCAAATACCTGGCCGTTTCTTTCTCCAAAACCCAGATATCGGAGAAAGTTTGAACTAACCATCGCTGTACCTGGAGGCGGATGGCCTCATCTTCCTCTGGGCTCTTTGAGTCCTCAGCAGCGGTCAGGGCAGCAGCCAAGGAAGCTGAGGTGCACTGCACAAGGATTTCGAAACAAGTGACCAGTAGACGGATAGGCTCTTTCTCATCATGGAGCCTCTTGTCTTCAGCGATACAATTTGCGAAACGGATCACAGTTCCCAAAGCCCTCATTTCCAGCTCTTTCTTATGTTGGATTGTGTACGGCAAGCCCACGACGTAATCAGGCTTGTCCCTCAATACCCTGTTGATTCCTGCTCTTACTTCCATCATGGCATCCATTCCCTTGCAAACGCGGTCTACTACCTGTGAGGGCTTCCAGTTTAGCGGCAGTGGGCGTGGCGGTGGCTTTATGTCGACTGTAAATGCCACATGGCTCCCGTCTTTCTCTTCGGTTTCTTCTGGACCCGGCACTACAATTCTTGAGGCTATTGCTCGAGCCTCCGCGACAGGGTCTGGCACAAGAGCAATTTTACACCCGTCCTCGTTTTTGGCCTGAGACCGGGCTGGGTCCTCCAAGGTTTTCTCCGGCTCCTGTTCTTCCTTCAGCTCCTCTGCCATTGCTTGCATCGCTTCTGTGAGCGGGTCGAAGCTGATATCGGGGGCTTTGTCTATTATTCGAGGGCCCATTGTCGCTGGAGGGTTTCGAAGTGTGGGACCCTGACAAGCCTGAACGCTCCCTCTACCCAATGCAGCAGCATGACATCTATTGAGAGCGTCCATATCACTTTGAGGCAGGCCAGCCGAACCATTATGATAATAAATCATCTCTGCGAAGGAACTTGGAGATGGTTCTTCGGAAAACAAAATGTCGTGCTGCGGATCGGGGCTGGGAGGCTGCACTCCTGGGATGTGAAGGCTGCTTAGTCGGTTGATTGGAGGCAGCTGGGGTGCCAACGAGTCTGACGAATCTGCCGAGTCAACTATCGTACTACCATCCGAAACAGTGATTTGAACTTCTTCCTCGCTATCTAGCTCCTCCTTTCCGCGGAAGCATCTAAAGGGGTCGCAGTTCATGCAGCAGCCGCCCATCGCTATTGTCGGGTTATGGACGGGTTATTGACCTTGCAGGGGTATAGATGAGCGAAGTACGGAAGACCTGGGGATCAGACGGCACAGTGTATGTCCTTTAGATGGGGTTTTATATGAAATCACCGATACTGATGGGCTGTGAGCCGCCGGATTGCTAGAATCTGAAATACTCAAGCAAAAAGGCCGCACGCTTTTTCAGGGATGGAACAGGTCTCGAGTGTATTGTTCTGAATTCTGCAAGCAAAGGAGCTTCAATATAATGAGCGAGTATTCTGTATCTCCAAGAACGAGAAAAGAATGGTCTAAGCATATAGAAGCGTGTATACCAACACCAAACGAAGGACGGAAGTATATATATAAACTGCAATATCTGATGCAAACGATGGACGCCAGCGAGTGTGTTGAAGATACGACTAATAGATTAAGGAAGCCCAGAAACACAACAACAACAACAACAACAACTTAAGTAAGGTTGGATATTGAAAAATAAAAGGGGAAAAGGTGCAAAAGTTCTTTTCTAAAGGCAGGAACAACCCATGTGTTTATTTACATTTATAGCTTTTATTGAGACTTATAGAAGTTGCGTTCAAGGATATGTGAAGACCGTAACTTCCTAGGGATGTAGTTGAGGCTCAGCGAGTAAGAAGATTCTACTAGTTATGTGGAGAACGTTTGGGTTGAAGATTTATAGATTTCATATAGACTATTGATGGCCACAAAAGGAGACCAACTCCCTGCTCGCTTGATAGGACTCATAAGCGCACATAAACATCGAAACATGGTATAATACATTTGCTATAAAGATTAATATATGCAAAGAATATGAAAGAACGCAGAAGAAAGTCAAAAATAAGAAAATTCGTAATAACGTCATATCGAGCCGGTTGGTCGGTTGGTCGGACTGCAAGGCGCCGGGTCGTCGTCATAGTGAGGGACTGTCGGAGCCCCTTTACTTGTGTTTGGCTGGGGCAAGAGTTGGAGGCTGTGGCTCTGGCAGCCTCACCTTTCGAATGACAAAAGGCTTTGGGCCAAGTTTTCCATCTTTGCCGGGCAGGAGATTGGGAAACAAGGCGGTCTTCGCTGGCTTTGCGGCCTTCTGGACTTTGGTTGGCCGCGGTTTGGGTTGAGGAACAGCCCCGATAGTGGTGGCCGCCTTCTTCGGTTTGGCGGCTGGAGTGACTGGCTCGTATCTGCCAGTCGTCTCGTTGAAAATAGCTATCGCATTGTGGAAGGGCAGGCGATAGTCCTTCTCCTTTGGCTTGAGTCCTGCACCCATTTTGGCTTGCTGGATCTGCAGCGAGGCTATATGTTAGAAACACAAACAAGAGGATTGTGTGTGAAGATATGAAGCGAACATACCTTGGAGGAATATAATAAATGTATAAAATTTATAGATTCGAGGATATGCTCTTGGTGTAGGCACGAGCGTAGACAGTCAAGTATGTCTGCAGGATGTAGAAGTTGGTGGTAAGGAGATGAAAAGAGAAAGAAGAATTGGGGGGCGAAAGGAGTGTTGGAAGGCTTTTATAGTGCAAATGAGAGTCATACCTACACAACCATGGTACAGCATAACCATATTATGCCCTCATCGAGAAGTTCTCCTGCCATGACGTCTTCGACTTGAACGAAGAGTCATCACCGTCATACCACGGGCATACAGTCAGCAGAAGGCTCAGGAGATGCTAGCCCCAGCCGCACAGCTAAATTAGCTATTTCTGTGTTTCTTGAATGAGCTAGAATAGCTGAGCCGTTTGAGATGGCTAGCAAGCCCTGAAGTCATCAGCGAGGGAGATGATGTATGTCATATATATTTGGGTAAATATTGCATTTAAATATTGCATCACTCCCTTATAATCGGCTAAAAGGAGCGGTTAGCGGCCATTATCAAGTCATGGCGGTGGCGTGAGGGCGTGAGGGACCTTGCGATAGGCTCACTTTCAGTCCATGGACTTAGGGTATAAAAGGCTAATTTGAGAAATGACATAATCGACTTCCCGAGCCAACATCGTCGTCAGCTACAACTGTGGTAGAGGTTTTGGCTACACACCAGCCAGGGAAGCAAAGTAACGGAGCTCAGAGCTTCCTCGGTGTTGATGCTTCTGTTGGCTAAATGGCATGTAGCACAGTCATATGATATTTATAATCCAAGTCAGCCTGAGAAGAGCACATTAGTAGATGAACCTAGCTATTAAGAGTTCACAGAACTATACACAGACTTACCTATCTATTGGCTTCAAATCTAGATTGCCAGGTGTTTTCCGTTATAGACTAAACATATCACTGGGTACGCATTCCCCTCTGGGTACTTATTCGCAGATATACTGCTAGGCTAAACCCCAAGATACACTAGCAGCCATCTATAGTATATGGATATATATCAGTAAAGGTAGTAATATCGTATCTTGGGTTAGGATAGACAGTATGTGTATCATTTATGAGAGTCTACATTTTGATATGAGAAGTTGAGGTTGGTTCAAGCTCATGAAGCCGCAACCACTAGCTTGCACGTGACAGGGACACCGCGGGATGTGGAGACAACATTCACCTTAAGATAAAGAGCTTAGAAGATATTCATAGGATATTGATTAAAGTGAAGTAATTCAGGTGAAGAAACATGATTAATATATCGCTATCACTTCATACTATGGCTCTAGGCTAGCTACAATAAACCGGGAGCATGCTGTATCTATAATGCCTAGAAAGAGGCAGCCAGCCATTGTGTGTTGGAGCGCCTGGTAGAATGCGAAGTAACGGAGTATATACCTTGCCTTTAGATTATAAATTAAGGGATCTTCACTAGAAGTGGTCTTCTGCCTGCATTATCATGAAAGTGCTGGTGATATAAGAGGATGTTATATCTGACTAACTCCACGCCTCGTAATCGTGTTGCATCAACAGCACGCAACGGAAAGACCAATATGAATTCGAAGTATAGTCATGGAAGAGCGTATTGCGTGGAAGGCTAGCAGCCAAAGAGTACGGGTTAAGAGCCGTTGGGAGCAAAAAGGCGGACGAGCGGTAGCGCGCGGTTGGGGATGCATGGTCAGCAGTATATTCGAAACCAGCTCGAATTTGAGAAGATATTATTAACAACACCATGTTTCAAGAGGGGAGATGGACATCAGATAGACCTCGGGAACTGCAGCTGCTGTCCCATATTGGCCCCACTCCTGTCTGGTGTCAGTCAGATAACTCCTCTTATGACCATCTGATGTCCCGAAATGGGTCCTCCGTCGAGCCGGATGCTGCGCCGCATTATTTTTTAAAAGAGCATAATATACCAGACCAGGTACTTATGTCGGCTTTATATAGACGCCCAGTTGCCGCTAGAGTTTCATCATCAGTGGCATAACGACATAGCCATTGGGTATCAAGGGGGGCAAAGCGTCGATCTATAGAAAAAGGGGGGATGATCCATTGATTGTTATATCTGGCGCCGGTCCGCATGGGCAGGGGAGATGCAGCAGGTTTCAATGGAGAGGAGAAGGATTTGCCAGGCATTGTTCTTAACTAGCAAACGCTCTTCCAACATATTCTCGGAGAGGTAATGCTTGCATGGACGTCATCGCGTCAAATCTCGTAAACTCGTAAACCGGTCGGCCACTAGTTAACGGTTGGTTCGCGCCATCGGTAACAAGCACTGGCCCATACTGCTCGTTTAAAACGAAGAGTCCTGCCTACCATGTGTAAGAAGAGGAGGAAAGCCGCAGATTAGCTCCACTTGCGGAGAGAGACATGGCGATCAAGACATGGCAGCTATCCCCGTCCGAGGCCGTGAATGGCCATGTCTCTGCCACGCTAAAAGGCTCAAATCTCAACTCTGGGTACAAGTGCTGGGGCATAGCCGCCAGGATCCCGCTGCGAGACGTGCCAGGGACAGCTGTTCTCTGGTATCTGGTTGGCCTGTTGAGGCGTCTCACGAGAGTCCACCTTTTGTCCACAAGTGACTTCCTGCGATCTCATCATCTTGGTTAACTAACCAACGAACGGGTTAACTAAATAACTAGTTAACTAGTTAGCGAACCAAGTCCCCCCAGTGTCCTCCGTATCCGTTGCACACCTCCTCTGCGCCCACCTACAGGCATCCCCAGCCCTCGCGGCGCTGCATGTTCTTCCTTCTTCCTTGCGCCCTCAAATAAATACGCAAAAATTCGAGAACGGACTGGTCACGTGCACTCAGTCTAAAAATAGGTTCAACGGCCAAGGCTCGGCGTTTCTTTTCCCTCTTTCGGCAGTTTTCGACGTCGAGTTGCATCTTCCATACAATCTCGCAGCGCTGGACCGGCCATGAAGCGACATCAGACGGGCTCGACTCAATGCCGCAGAGCGCATGCAGAGGACGCAGAGCGCGGAGGACGGAGGACCTGACAGCATGCAGTATCGAGCAGAGAGCAACGCCCAGCAGGAGAGCTGTAAGCGCCGGGGCCCATGTCACAGGGTGGCACGGCGCGTATCCACATGCCTAGGGGGGTCTCTGGTCAAAAATATCCCAGGCTTGCATGCGAAGTAACGAAGTATATTGGACGCATGATATAACGGAGTATGGCGAAGAGCAAGCAGTTGGACCACTCATGGCTCGCATGCTGGCTTTCATCCATGCATGGCTCCCCTGACAATCACACACCTTGGCCAGTCAGCTTGCATGAACCAGCCAAGGATGCTGCACCACTCGCTACCTTTGAGTTCCGATTCTTCAGGCCATCTGCTTGCCGATTCGCTGTGACAGGGTCAATGCAGGATTTGGACGGAGGTCACCCATGCCTGGCTCGGCTTGGATATGAATTAAGTGGACAGAGACCTTCCGGCCACCGCACCTGCGGCCTCATCATTGGCAGTAACCGCCATGGCTCCTCGCCTCCACCGATGCATGCATGGACGGACTCCTTCGTACATAGCCTTTTATATTTAAACCGGCCATGGCGCCACTGGTATCTCCATTCGAGAGATATCTGCACTGTCTATCATACCATCTTATACTTGCCTTCGATCTGTCATTCTACATAGATTTCCTTTTGCCCATCTCGGTTGGTCCAGGGTTCTAAATGGCGTTCTGGAGCATTTAACCGAACGGATTTCACACGTCCTTGCATCTTCGTGACACCTGGCACATACATATGGCCGCCTTGATCCCCTTGAGGAACAACCTGGTCAAGACCTGCAAACCCCTGGCCAAAGCCGTCGTGCTCCTCATATTTTAGACCGACTTCAGTTTCCTCAGAGAGATGAACACACATACCAGAATCTCTGTACATCTACTGTCGACATCGCTATTCGCGGCACATCTTAGGTGACCTTGGCTCAACGGGCAGACAGCGGTAGCGCAACTGTCGCGCATCTGCCGTACGCCTGTCATTGTGTCGTCAACACCGCTGGACGGTGTTTGACGACTTCAACCGTTTTCAAAAGTGGTTCTTCTTCCTTGTTTATTGATACCCTTAACGATGCCGGCCGTCGCTATAATATTAATCTGGCTTTGCGCCTTGACTCTGATACCACATTCGGTGGCATACAACATACCTAGAGACCATATACTTTGGCGATCCCCAAGTCCGAACACACTGACAACCTCTCCCAGGCGGCAAGTCAACTTACCGCAACCCTCTCCCGCTACATCGCAGCGAAAGTCAACGATGAGTCCTCGGCAGGGCGCTAAGTACACATTTGATGAGGGACAGTTCAATGCTACAACTACATCGACATGTGAGAATGCATTAGGGGGCTTGAAATCAGTGTCCAACCCTTCCGGGATAGCCGCATGCTTCAACGTCGCATTTTTAAACGAAGAAACAAGCATATTCGGAGCCGATGTCAAACTATACTATGTCTCCCAGGCGAATGGTGAATTCGTCAATACTAAATGGGAAGATTTTAATATAAAATTGGGCTCGCGGCTTATAGAATTCTCGGGGATGAACCGTGTTTTTCAGAACACAACTTCGAATTCCACCACAGGCTCGCCCTATCTGGTGATGCAGTGGCGGTACAGCGGCAGGGTAAACGAGCTTATCCCGCTAAAGAAGTTGTCCCTGTAAGTCTCTTCCTATTCAAATTTAAATCAGTGTGAAGACTTTTTCTAATGACCTGTCTACAGTGATGAACATCGCTATCTTCTCGCGCCTAACATATCAATCATAACAAAATCTCCAAACCAGCCCAACACTATCATCGACACGAGTCTAGCTCCCGACACCCTCTCGTATACTACTGGCTATTTAGCCAATGACGCCAACTCACCATATAATATGACGACCCCCGAGGTCAAAACCCAGCTGACAAACATACTAATTGCAATCTTGCAATTTGAAGTACCCGGCATGCGCCTGGGTATATTTCCCACGGGCCTTGTTGTAACCAGTGTGTGGACGGGGTTATTTCTAGCCATTGTTGGCTACGGAACGTTCGAGCGTAAACAGTATCGCTCCTTTCATGAACGAAGATTGAAATATGCAGCCTCAACAAGAGGGTATGGCAATCGACCTGTTGTATTTTAGATTTAATGACCTTACTACAGAAAGAATATTTAATGCAAAAAAATTCAAAAATACTCATCAACTACGTAATTATTATGGGTCGTGTTTTACCTTCGGTTCATCATGTTGGTTTTTCAACGGAACGCGAATAACTACATGGCACAAGCATTTGGGTTGGTATTTGAATGGTGTTTGATTGATTCTATAGCTAAACATCGAGTAACTCCACGACTACTACGGCGTAATAGAGAAAACCGATAGAAGTATAGTTCGCCGGCACAATGCCATATATATTGAGTAATGACTGGACAGATGGCGTGTTTGTATCCCCGCTGACTGTGTGTCTCCATGGCGTTCCCTTCCGAATATATAAGGATTCATAGAGTCACCATTCGTTGCAATGAAGGATGATCATCTCTTGCGGTGAGAACCTTGTATATAAACGGAGAGAAAATTTAATCGAACAGTCTCTGGGGTGCGACATAACGAGCTGACATGGCATGAGATGATATAGGTCCGCATAGATCTCGAATTATAAGTATGGAATGCTAGGAAGTCTTTCAGCAAAAAACAAGAGAGCTGTTATTTCGACTCTGACGCATCAGTGTTTGGTACCGAAGTACACCCCCAAAGCCACTGCTGTCCCAAGGATAACAGCAACAACAAGCCACCAACATACACATTTGCTATCCGAACCTCCCCCTATCCATGACTTGGGGTTGCCATGGTGTACTCCCCAATAATTTGGTGTTGCTGTTACTCCCCATGTGAGCTGGCCCGTCCGGTGGCCTAGCGGCTGACCGTGGCTATCAAGATTGCTGGGAGTAGTTCTCCAGGATTGACCTTCCGCTGGAGGTCCGTTTGGAAATACCCTCCAGGGGATCGGACCATGACGACGCCAAGCAGACGAACCCGGAGGCAAAGGGGGGCTGTCGAGTATAGATGGGCCACGGTTTAAAGATGGCATCGGTACACGCGGTGGAACATTGTTGAGATCGTGAAGTGCTCCGTGGCTAAGTGTAGGTGAGGAATGTCTATCTTTAGCCCTCAGCCTCGAGTTCGTAATTTCTGGCACATCTCCCTGAGTGGCTCGTGAGTGGGAGCTTCTGTGTGCTCTTTGAGGTCGTGTTGGCAGCATTTGAACGCCATCACCACCGCTACTTTCGGCCCTAGGGCGAGAGGAGCGAGATGAGCGTCGTCCTATTTCAGACCCGACAGCGGATAAGTATGGCGGAGGATGAGAACTTGATGGACGTGAAGAGCCTTCAGGGGCTAGAAGACTCGAGCGTCGGGACCGTTTGCTTGTAGCGCGAGAGAGAGGAGGTAATTCAAAATTGTCTCTTGAAACCATGATTTAACAAAAGTATGTTTTCTTGTACTGTTTCGTCGTATATGGTTCGGTCCAGTAGGTATCGAGTCTCTAAGCTTAGCGAATGGGCAAAAAGCAAGAAGCCCAAATCACCAGCCGATCACGTATAATCAAGTCCACCGGAATCGAGTAAGCCGGTGATCAAGCGGGGGTCGAGGACTACCGTATCTCATCTAGAAGCCTGGATCGTATCTGTATCTATCCTCGAGTATACCGCTGAGGATATGGAGTTCTGAAATCACGACTGCCGGGTGATATGTCTGATGCAGGCCAACGATACCGTGAGAATGAGTATATAATTTGAAAGTCGTCCCTGTGATGAAAAGCCACGGAGTAGAAGGTTGAGAAGAACCGGCAGCGGGCTATTGAAAAAAAAGCCCAGCTTTTATACCATAATGTACCACGCCGGGCAGTGAACGCAAGACGGAGGGTAGGAGGTTATCGGCCGCAGGAGTGAAGCCATTGAATAGCTAACTCTAAGAAGACACATGGCTGCAGTCGAGTATGAAGGCGAAGAAATGGTACATTGGCAACTTTAGTGACGAAGGACCGGCGTTGTGAAGTTATATATCGTTGTCGGCGTGATTACGCACAATTCAGATACCACACAATACTCATCGTGAGTGGTATTGCGGCGAAAGCGGTCAAGTATTGAAGTGAAAATGAACCACCAGAAGAGTCATGACCACATGATCAAGATCCAGGGATGTATAAGAGGCAACCCGGGATTGGTATGTCACTCCAGCGTGGGGAGGCGGAGTGAACAACCGGGATATATTGATAAAGCTCATATTATAGATCTGATGCGATGGAGCAGAAAATGGGTATAATTGTGACTGTATATATATCTCCGCGAGCGTTTGGGCCCGGATATCTATGAAAACCGGCGGGTATGGGGTTTATATAGACTAGATTCCGCGATGGTGATGTTGGTGTAGTTGGTGATGAGTGATTGCTGGCATGATAGATGAAAAATTTTGTTTGCTAAGGCTCCTGGAAACAAATATTTGTTAGTAACTGAGAGTGATATTGATCGCAGACGGAATACTTACTAGGTAAAGGCACCAGCTGTATATAGGCGGAAACCAGTATCACTCCCAAGATCACCGACCTGGAAAATAACAGTAGTAAATGGATAATAAATACTGAACATGATATAATATAAGGTATATTCAATCATAGGAATATATATCAAACATGATGTACCATTATAATCATTCAAGGTATATTGACTGATGGCCAGAAAGCACTGAGCATGAACTCCAGAAAGACTTGAAAGGGACTGCGCCGGGTATATCCCACACATTTAGATAGTACACAAACAGATATAAGACACGCTTGTAGGACCAAACCAAGCCAGATACGAGCTTCAAATTTATGAGAAACCCACCGATGCAGATGCTGGGTATAATAAGAAAAATGAGAAAAAAAAAATCACTCATACATGTTTGTGGAAATGCCACGGAGTAACTCCAGCAGACAAATAAGAAGGGAAAATGATGGGGAAAAAACAAAAACCATAATCAAACATTTGGAATCAAGCTTTGAAACTGTACATTCGGACCTCAGAGTCTTCGCTTCCAGTTGCCATGCGGCTATCACTAAGAGAGACGCAGGTAACAGGTCCCCTATGACCGGTGAACGTTCTCTCGCAGGTTCCGGTTCGGGGATCCCAGACTTTTGCCATATGATCTTGTGCACCAGAGACAAAACGGAGGGTATCAGCAGCCAACCCCCAGACGCCTTCAATGTGTCCGAAAAACGTTCGGAGACAGCGACCAGTGTGAACCTCCCAGAGACGAAGGGTAAGGTCAAGAGCAGCAGTAAGCATATAGCGTGGTGGAGCTGGACGGCCTTGGTCTTCGGTGAAGAGGGCCTCAAAAAGGGGAGACATGGGCTCGGTCGGAGGGGCGGAAGTGTTAGGCTGTTGGTCTGGTGCGTTATTACTTCCATAGCCATGACTTCCTCGGTGGTCGGGAGATTCTGAGCCAGAGAGACGATCGCTTCTATCATCTGCACAATTTGACTGGTGTTTGAACTCGAATTCTCGTGGGAGTGGGAGGACCTGTTGGACTTGACCTACATGTCCTGCATAACTGTGGATACATTTACCCGTGTCCAAGTCCCAGATACGAACGGTGAGATCATCAGAAGCAGAGAATACAGTACGAGAAGCAGTATCAAGCTTAACTGAATTGACCCAGTCCGCGTGCCCGCGGAGGATCCGAGTGGACTTGTCATGGAAGTTCCAGATCTTGATAGTGTTGTCCTTTGAACCCGAGGCAAGAGTTGTGGAATCAAAATGTAAACAAAGGACCCCACCTTGATGGCCAGTGTATGTTGATATACACTCTCCTGATCGCCAGTTCCACACTTTAATGGTTCGATCAAGGCTTCCGCTGATCAGTTTGGT